CATCAGGGCTAATATCTGATGATGGTAACTGTGTTACCAAAGCTAGCCAGCTGTAAGTAATATACATTTTACCTTTCATCGTGGCAAATAAATTTCGTTTTTGTGTTTTTTACTCTAAATTTCTTTTGTCTCCTGAAGTAGAACAATATTTTTTTTTCAGCTGTAATACACATAAAATAATATTTTTTTTAGAACTGTACATATTTCTCAATTTTTTTATCTAAGTATTAATAACTTCAAGTCTTTTTATTTTATTCAATAAGAGTTGTCAGGATTTTAGTATTACTGTACTCCACACTCCCATGAGTATTATATTAATGTATGGAAAGTTTTTGACTTTTTCATTTTAATTTATAGTAAAACAATTATAAAAATTAAGTTAACTGCAGATTTGTTTTTCAAGTTCCTCTTAATTTGTCCGTTGTAGCTCAAAATCAGAGGTATGTAACAATAGCATTTCAGATCTATCTTTTGGCTCCCACAAATCGCTGGCCAAGAAGCTTTTCATTCACTACCAGAACTCATCAGTTGCACTACATGATGAAAGACTTTATGAAACACATTAAAAAAGCAACTATGTGTAACAGTTTAGAGAAAAAATTTGAAAATATTCACCAACTTTTTCTAATGCTGGAAAGTTTTGCTTGCTTTAAAACTTTATTAACAATTAATTACATGAGACAATTTGTCTTAAAATGCAATGTATGCCAGTTAATGAGCATTTATATCTTCCAAAAAAGTTCCTTAGTTTATTATTATTTTAGACGTAATCCACGTTCAGGTAAAATATTAATAGTTTTTAGTTGTAGAATTCATTGCAATATTATAATTTCCAAAGAAATGTTGAATATTGAATTTCTTTTGTATTCAGCATTGCATGTTGATATAGAAGGTAACATTTAGAGACCTGTAGGTTTTGAAACATAAGTGTAATATTTACTTGTACAAGTCTACATTGTCAAACTAGAGATGACAGGAAATTATATCTGCACATAATTTTTGTGTTATGATATTTATCTTAGGAAGTAACATTTTCTTTGAGGTTGATTTCATTAATGCCTTTTTCTCACCTTTAGTTCAACAAAGAACTAGTTACATATTCTTAGCTTTAAAATTCCAGAACAACTTACAAGTGAATTGTTTGTTTGTTATAAATTTCGCACAAAGCTACACAAGGACTATCTGCACTAACCATCCCTAATTTAGCAGTGTAAGACTAGAGGGAAGGCAGCTAGTCATCATCACCCACTGCCAACTCTTGGGCTACTCTTTTAACAACAAATAGTGGGATTGACCATCACATTATAATGCCCCCACAGCTGAAAGGGCAAGCATGTTTGGTGTGACGTGGATTCGAACCCGTGACCCGCAGATTGCGAGTCGAGTGCCCTAAACACCTGGCGTACAAGTGAATAATGACAATGTATGCAAAGAAATCTGCATGCAGTGTTAAGACACTGCAATAAGAACTTAATCATTTCTAATTTTAAATCTAAACAAAACCTTTTTTGTTCTAAATGTCAATATTTGGTTATATCGAGTCAAAACAGATTGAAAGTTGGGATTTTTATACATTGTATGTCCGTATTTTTTTTTTAACACAGAAATTTGTCAATCATGTAAAGTCTACCTTCTTGATTAAACTATTACTTTGTAAATCATTTTAAAGAAAACTCTTGAATCTCTGATATTGAACTGTATACATTCCAGAAAAATGCATAAAATAAGTGTCTTTCTGCCAAGATCTAGCATAACAATTAAATATTTCATGTGATGATCAGTTAATTCTAGAACAGACTTTTACAGGGAAAAAAGGCTTTCTTCTTGATATTTTATAATTTATTAATATGTAAAACTCCAGCAGATATCACAATCTCGGTGCAGCTGGTTTAATAAAGTTAGAGTGAATCCTCAGTCAACAGTACTGAACTTACCAATATTTTATAGTACAATACACCTACTAGCTCACATATACATGTATTAAAACTGAAATGTTACAGAAATCCACGGAACCGAAGCATTCACAAAAATGAAGAGAGATGAATGACTATCTAAGAGTACAGATATTTTGCTGACGTGCATAAGCACTTCACTTATATGTATTAAATAACACTATCAAATCTATTATTCACTCACATCAACAGTCACTGCATTTTATGAAGTTGGGATCATACAAGTATTTTTATAGAGGTAATAGTTAAGCCGCACAGACTAGAAACTGGAGAAAGTACAGTAACAGATCTTGTAGCAAACAAACAAATACGAGTTCTCTTGGATGAACCCGTGAAATTTGTCTCATATACAGTAAGTACTGGTATAAGAAAGTTTATAAAGGCTATAGATTAGTTTCCTGCTGTGAATTTTAGAAATATGTTCATTATGTGTAGTGATACGTTTTGATGAAATTAGGACATTTCTTTAGATTCATTACTTTTGAAATATAAGATTTCCAACTCATAATTTATGTTTCTATTACAGCATGATTGGACAGTTTTACTGGAAATTCTCTCCTTTTAATTTCTACATATTCAGTGAAGTTTTTCTGTTGAACAAATGTTATTAAAATGAACTTGTTTAACTTGAAAAGCTGTTTCTTTGCTTTCAACATGATACAAGCATAATGGTGGGGTAAAACAACAGGTTTAGTGTTCTTAAAATTTATTTTACTAGTTTTATCTTTGTGCAGCAAATGAATAAATTTTGAATGTCATATAAATAACTTAAAAGTATAATACAAGGTGGTACCAAAGGTCTTTGATATCTTAAAAATGAAAAGCATGTAAAATTCTTTCTTAAACAATGGTGGGTCATTCACCTTCACATATACTTTGAGTGCCAAAATATACTTCAGAATTAGTAATTTAATAGAGAACAGTTAATTTCAAACAGTTTTGAATACAATTTATCAGAACTAAAAATAGCAGTACAACATCATGCCTACTCAGTACTCGAAATGGAGAGTAATGGGGGGGGGGGAGCATACCCCCACTTCTTGTGCATGATCCCCCCATTGAGGTGTGTGATGAAAGAATGAAAAAACGTTATCATCATTTTTACGTGTAAGCGTACCCCCAGTTCTTGCACCATGCTTACCAGTTTTCTAACAAAATCTGTTACCTGTTTTTACAAAATAAAAAAGATTCATAAAGTTAGGATAATCAGAATTAATTAAAATGTAAGTTTTGTGATCAAAATGTCAGGGAGTGAATTATTTCTGAAATAAAAAAAATATTTTGATCTATATCTTTTAAGTTCAAGTTTATTTTAATATATTAAAAAAGTTGTAATGCTTGGAAATCCATTTAAAAGATTGACTAATGTTAATTAATTCAGTGCATAATTCTAGTGAAATGCACCAGATTGATTTTTGATTTGTAAAGCGTGTTGTTTTATTAACTTATGCTGTATTATAGGTGTTATTTCTATTTCCCTAATATGTAATTTTGTGGGATTTAACTGTTTTTATGACAAATTTTAATAGACTTGAAAATTGAGGCAAATGAAAACCATGTCTGAAAAGTTTAATTTAATAATTGGAGTTACTTTCTCAACCCAATTCCTCTTTAATAGGTTTCATTTCAAATGCTTTATTTATTTCTCTGTGTAGCCCAATAAATTTCCATAACTGTTGCCTTAAAAAGAAATCATATGTAATTACTAAAGAATACATTTTTTTTTTGTTACAATTAAGCATTTATTTCAAAATTCCTCATGTAAATGTTTAGTGTTGGCTCAGTAATGGCTAACTAAAGTTATGAAATGGTTTTTTAGTTGCCTTTTAAGTTCCACAGGTTATTTTTATTGGTGAGGAGGCATTTGTCAGGACATTTGTTTGAGGGGTAATTTGTATATTGCTATTTTGATTGGTGAGGAGGTGCTTGTTAGAACATTTGTTTGAGGGGTAATTTGTATATTGTTATTTTTTATTGGTGAGGAGGTGTTTGTCAGGACATTTGTTTGAGGGTGATTTGTATATTGTTATCTTTATTGGTGAGGAGGTGCTTTTTAGAACATTTGTTTGAGGGGTAATTTGTATATTGTTATCTTTATTGGTGAGGAGGTGCTTGTTAGGACATTTATTTGAGGGGTAATTTGTATATTGTACAGAAGATGGTTTATTTTTCAAGTTTTAGTACACTGTTAAGATCTGAAACCATTTTATCTTTTTCACAGTTACATGATTTGGCTGATTACACAAAGTTAAAATGACTATTATTTGCCCTATTTACTTTGGTTCCTTGCTAGTAGCAAAAAAAGGAATTTTTTAGCTTTTTTGTAAAGTGTTAGAATACTATTCTGATGATAGCATATTTAATTTTATACAAATGTTATTTTGTTAAAAGTTGTTTTCGACAACTTGCATATCGTTCATTCTCATCCATAAAGTTTCTTTTTCTAACAAGTTTCCACAATTTTATAATAATAATTCTTTCATATCACTACCCTTATTTTTTACAGAGATTCTCTCCTGGTAGTTGTACTACACAAGTGTCTAAAATGAGTATCATACAATATTATGTAACTGTAAAGAAAAAAATGGCAGGATTTTTTTTCTTGTTTGAGCAATGATACTAGCAAAGAGTAAAACACATTGTTCTAAGTGTCATGGTTTGTGTATTTTAATTAAATTAGACAGTTTTACTTATACATTCGTTTAGGTATTTTTAATTATTAAGCGCTTGTTTTGACTATAGGGACAGTGACTTTTAATTTTTTATGTTAGAAAAATAAAGATGCAAATAGTATTTGTAAGTAGTGCTTTTATTTTAATGTTAACTCATAGTTGTATTTCTGTATAGTTGTACAAGATTAACTAGAAACTTTTTAACTTCAATAATGAGGAAATAACATAGGGAATGAGTAAAAGCTGTACAGATATTGCAGTGAAGATTATAATAAGAATAAAGTAGGATTTAATCCAGCAATCTGATTTTAATTAATGCTTTCAAGATTATTATCTATGAAATGATTTATTTTACCATCATATTTCTATACATTATACGTTGCACATCCTGCAATTACTATATTTCAAATAATGAAGTTTTATAAGAAATAAACGTATAGACTCTAATATCACTAATTAGCCATTGTACTGTTAATGCACTTATTCTAATTATTATTTTTTGTAACTTTGCTACAAGTCATACATAAACTTGAGTTATACGGTCCACGATACCCTTTGTTTTTTAAATTTCCATCAGTGTTTCAGTGCTATAATTTAAACTACACTATGTAGTCTCTGACAGATGGCTATAATAATGGTTGAAAATTGACAATTATAACTAGTTGTATTATTACATATCATAACAATGTACTATAAAATTCACTTCATTCTTGACTAAATTAGTAGAAATATTTTCTCAGAAGGGTTGCTTCTTGTGCCATGTCATCTTCATTTCTTGCTTTCAGAGTGACATCTAATTCATGTCCTTCTAGCTGCATAAACATGGTTAGAATAAACATAAACAAAAAATGTACTTTAAAACTTCTCAACAATGAAGATTTACTGATAGACATTTTTATGTCTCGCTTGTTTGTTGTTAACCACAATGCTTAACAATGACTTATATGTGGCCTGTTTTTTAGCATTATAAACCCTCAGACTTACCCACTGAGCCACCAGGGGCACCTTTATATCTAACTGAAAATTCCTGAACAATAAATACCTATTGATGGGTGTCTATATAACTTAAAAATAAAGACCTGCTTGTAGCCTTAATTTCAGTGACTCTACTGGTACACTAACCCTAATACTGAGGCAACAGATTGGTTTAAGCTTTACTTTTCAGCTAAATTGAATGATCAGTTTGATCTAATTGTAGTTACTAAACAACAATAAACTGTTAGAAGTATTTGCTAGAAAAAGGTACTAGTTGTATTTTTTAATACACTAAATTTATACAAAACTACAGTTGAAAGTATTTTATAAAAACAACAATAAATGATGATAACCAATGTAATTCTCTTAGGACCCCAATCAGTAGTAAGAAGTTTAATTGATCTTTAATAACTTGGAAGAATTTGATTAGTCACACCAATTTCGTGACCAGTTTTGTTATTCTATGCAATGGAGAAAATAAAAATTAAAGACATCCACACACAAAATGTATTGCATAATAAGTTTTCTTTTATAAAAATACAGTCTAAGCTTACTAAATACCTTGTAAGAACAAAGAATTATTCATCACGCTGAATTAAACAAGTACAGCAGTAGGTTGCCGAGACTTGATTTTAAATTTCTTGATCTTATTTCACTGCATCAGATAATTCCTCAGATACTTGTTTCCTCACGAAAATTATCAGTAAACTGATTCATGTTTTGTGCTTTACAAACACATAGAAATCATTAATTAACTACTACTTTCACGTTGCTAACTCTAATTTGGAAAGTTTAAGTACTTTTATACACAATTAAATCTAAATGTCTCTCATAACCATTTCTAAGCCTAAATACGAACATGAAATGGATATGAAAGAAATTTTTTTTACAGTCCATCAGTATCCAGCAATCTGAGCTTCAAAAATGTGGGAGAATTTTTTAAAAAATATTCTGCCATAATTTTTAGTGATTTATGTTTTATATATATTTATTCTAGTCTGGTTACATGTTTTAAAAATACAAGAAAAAAAAAGTAATTTATTATTTTTACCCTGGTTGTTGGTTCTAGCATTAATATGACAATAGTAAAATGTGTATGGAATAATCTTTATTTTAGTTATGAACGGGAGAGTAGTGAAAATGAAAAAAAAATTATAACTCTGATTGTATGATGAAATTTTGTTGTCACACTAGGTGGTACTAGTCAAAATATGTTCCTTACTTACCTGATGGTACTAGTCAAAATATGTTCCTTACTTACCTGACGGTACTAGTCAAAATACGTTCCTTACTTACCCGATGGTACTAGTCAAAATATGTTCCTTACCCGATGGTACTAGTCAAAATACGTTCCTTACTTACCTGATTTATCCACTAAGTTTCTTCTTCTGGCTAATATGTGTATATTATGTTTATTGTCAATAGGTGATCAAAATCAGCAGTATAAAACAATAATGAGCTTACTATAAGAAAAATTCAAAACTCTTATTAAAAAAAAATAACCATTGCACCTTCTGGTGATAACGGAGATTGCCTATGGTAATAGCACCCAAAAGCGTTGGGGATATTCCTTCTATCAGACAAAATCCAAAAAGCAGATGAGAAATCAGTTAGCAGTCATAGAAAATTCATTAAGGGTACAGAGTTGAGTGCTTACACCCACAAGTCTTAACTCTTACTGCCTTTTACTGTTTGCAGCCAGTTGTGGGAAAGCAGTTACCCTTAAAGAGATGTAATAAAGTCAAAAGTAGAAATAAGATAAAATCAAGCCACCCAAAAAATATTTGTACTAAATAATACATACCATCCTCTGCTGTTAAAAGTTCTAAAAAATCCTTAGTAGAATAATAACCACCCTAATAATTCTACTACAAGTTACTCCCAACATCTACCCTTTACTATGAAACAGAAAAAAGTAACAATGATCGTGTATATGCTACAAAAATATTTGTACTAAATAATACCTACCATCCTCTGCTGTTAAAAGTTCTAAAAAATCCTTAGTGTAGAATAATAACCACCCTAATAATTCTACTACAAGTTACTCCCAACATCTACCCTTTACTATGAAACAGAAAAAAGTAACAATGATCATGTATATGCTAATTATTTAGATTTGGATATCAATTTAGTAAATGGTAAAGTACAACTAAATATTTTTGATAAGAGAAGAGCATTTAATTGTCCCATCCTTGGTCTACCCACCCCCAATAGCATAGTTCCTCGCATGATGCTAAAAGATGTCATTACATCTCAATTAAAAAGATTTTTAACTGTTTGTAATAACAGTTAGTTCTTTATCAATAATGTTATATTATTCATAACTAAACTAGAAAATAATGGTTATAAATACTGGCAAATAAAAAAGTTTTTTTGCAAGATTTTATAATAAGTGTAAAAATATTTTATTAGATAAATTATCAGTGAGGAAAAAAACCCTTTTTCTCACTAGAGGTAGTTAGCTACCTTTAATATTTAAGTTAAAATTTATTCAGTATAGCCAAGATTGGAAAGGCTAACTTCAAGTAGCTGGGCTTGTCTCAGCTATCCCGTGCTATACTTGAATAATGTGACAATATGAACTACTTGAGATTGGTCTTGTAGTTCTTTTTAAGATCTTATATAAAATATGTCATTTTTAGAAAAAGGTGGAGGTTGGGAGTAACATGTAGTAGAATCATTAGGGTAGTATATAGCTAATGTTGATGACATAATTCAGTCTGGTTCTATTTCCTCTAACCACTATTGTATCTAACACTTTACATTTTTTTATGAGTAAAATTAAGATCAAGGACCAAGATTGACAGCTCACGTAAATTTCCAATCCGGTATTTCAAAATGCCAATATTTGACAGTATGTACTTTGTTTATTAAAAGTAAACTAACAATAGTCCTGTTGGTTGTTTATTTTTAATTTTATAATATGCACAATTAAAAACTATAGATATTATTTACATTACTGCCTCACCTTGGGATAGATGTCATCATTATTCTTAATGTCTCCAGCTTTCCTAGGAAGTACGTGGACATGAAAGTGATTTATTGTTTGCCCAGCCTCTGGGCCATCCTGGATTTAGAAAATAAAATAACACAGGCAGTATTAGTACTCACTAACAGTTTGATTCTGAAGAACACCACACAACACACTAAAATAAAACTGGTTTCGTATGGTATGAACTTCTCTTTATGTGACTCTGTGTGTGTGTGTGTGTGTGTGTGTGTATGACAAAACATTTTCATGTAATAACCCCATGTTAGTAGGCATAAGAAACGTACCAGCCTAATTATTATTTTGTTACTATATCATTACAGCAAATGTGAAATGTATGGGTAGGTTAACATACGTGATACTGGTACTTCTGATGTATTGGATAATAATATGATTTAACTCAAAATATATAAAAATGTAATAACCCTGGGCAGGTTTTCCAGTTTACTTGTATTATGAAATTAAAACAACCACATGGTGGTCCAACATTCAGAATATCTCAACCTTTTCCAATATACTTTGGAAAAAAAGGCAACATAGTTGAAAGTGATATAAATATTCAAGTCATTTTGTCCAAACACAGCTGTTTCATCATGTATCAATAAAATACTGCATTAAAAATAATTATTTTAATTCAGTGAAAAATAACTATGTTCATGTTATAAATTTGAAACTGGACATATTAACTTACAAGTTGGTGAGTCACTCGTGTAGCATATATCAGGATTGTGATGTATTAGTCTATCATCAATAAACAGGCTACTGATCTTACAAAACTTTTAAAGACAAATAACAAGTAGCATTTATATAAATTCTAATAATTGAATATAGAGTTGGAGTTTACACACATGCACAGTTTATGCAAGTGGAATCCAGGGCTAGTAAATGTTGAATTCACGATAGCCCAAACTCAAAATTTGGTAATCAGTCAGCTCGAGCCAGTGGATTTTGATAACCCTGATGACTGATGTTCAGTACCATCTACAGCCCATATCCACATTTTAAAATATAATACCAGTATAAAACATATTCTAACTTTTTATTTCTATCACCTTAATCTATACAAACCCGATTTCTAGCGTTGTTAGTTCCGCAGACATACTGCTGTGCCACTGGGGGAGCTCCACTAAGAGATTGACAAAACTTTAAGAAGCTCATTGATATTTTGAACCTTTAAAACAATAATTCATAGATAATATTTTGTGTTTTAATTGGTGATTCATTGTTAAAGGTGGCTTCATGAATCCTAATCTTGTTTTAGCATAAAACAAATATAACTTAATAAAATTACACAGAAGTTGTTCTTATTGTGGTGTTATTTTACGGCTTCTGACAGTACTTTGCTGACGGAAAACTGTTTAACACTTCATTTTTATATATAACCATAATACATGCAAGCTAAGAAAATACAGGAAATTTTTATTTGTATTCATAAATACATAAACATTTCACAAGCTAGTTTAAAAAAAAACCAAATAAACAATGCAATTGCAAGTTATATTATCTACCTGAATAGCTATAGTAGAAGACTTGACACCATGAACCTCCTCAATAACACCTTGGACTTTCTGTACACATGTAAAAAGATCGGATATTTCGGGTCCACTCAGATCTTTTAATCTTTCAGCAGGCCTTAGTGGTGCTACCAGTACATCTAGAGTAATTTGTTGTAAAGGATATGCATACTGGTGCATATTTTCAAACTGTGGAATAGCTATGTTTACATTCAGCTTTTAGGTAACAGTAAAATACAAACAGAATAACAAAGATGTTTTTATTTCTTTTTCCTGTGCCTTCATGTCTGATTTTGTTGTAGAAGTGGAAGCTTAGATAACTGAACATTTTTCACTTACTTCTAAGTTATTGGAAGCGTAATTAACACAAGTTTCGTATTTCTACACACAAACATTTCTTAAAGAAATATTACAACATTCTGTGTTGAACTTGGTGAATCTGACTACTAATACAGCAGACAACCAATATGAGTTATGAACATTATGAATATTTTACAGAAATATCATGAGATTATTTATTGCTAGTGTGTTTTGGTTTGATTTGTTATGAATTTTGTGCAAAGCTACACGAGGGGCTATTTGCACTAGCCGTCCTTAATTTAGCAGTGTAAGACTAGAGAGAAGGCAGCTAGTCATCACCGCCAACCCTTGGGCTACTCTTTTACCAATGAATAATGGGATTGACCATAACATTATAACACCCCACGGCTAAAAGGGTGAGCATGTTTGGCGTGTCTGGGATTCTAACCCGCCGATTGTGAGTAGAGCGCCCTAACCACCTGGCCATGCCAGCCCGGTGTGTTTTGATTTTACAAAAGAATTATAATTGGATTGTAATGACTACAAATTCTTGTTTTGTTCATTTAATAACAAATCCTATACCTACTTGTGACACTGCCAATGTTAAACGATTCATTAGGAATAAACATAAATTTCAAAATAAATTTACTAATCATAAAAACTGTGAATCAATATGAATATTAGCATTTACATTATTAAAACTATTTTTTTTTCCCTTTTCTAACGAAGATGTAAACAATTATTCACAAAACAAATACAGTGTCTTCTATAGCTTTGTAAGATTTTGACTTCCTTTTCAAAATCAAGAGTAAAAAATTATACTGTTATCAATGGGTACTGGCTGAGTTTAAAACAACAGTTGGTAACCCTGTGCACACAGATAAGGTTTAAAGTGTATGCCATGACCCTTTACAGAGTGCTATTCAACAGAATTACATCAGAATTATCATCTACTTATTTTACACTGCTGATTTAGTAACAGTTCATGGTAGTAGAGAGTAAATACCAGATACATTATATACAGATACAGAAAAAATTGTAGATATGCATTCTGGAGGTTCTTGACATTATGCAAGCTTTACAATGGACAAAAGTCTTTTTAGCCTTCACACGAACAGCACTTTGCACTCTGACTGGTCAGGGTCTGAATCAGACTGTCACCGTCAATTCACAGACATATTCTGTGTAGATAAATATTATAAGTTTGGAATTACAGTCAACATTCCTTCTCTAATACGGTATCAGTCTAATGTCTACATTTGGACAAAACACAGAATAACATTCCTTCTCTAATACGGTATCAGTCTAAGTTTTATAGTGGTATTTGATATAAAATCAATATTGTATTTTAAGAAGAAATCCAAAATAATAGGTACTGTGGTTAAGCTCTATTTTAATAACAACTGTATGATAACTGTTAAATTGGATATGTTGTACATTACTTTCCTGCCAGACTGTTGGGTCTGAGGTATTCTGTGTTTATCCAAATGTGGACATTAGACTGATACCATATTAGAGAAGGAATGTTATTCTGTGTTTTGTCCAAATGTGGACATTAGACTGATACCGTATTAGAGAAGGAATGTTATTCTGTTTTATCCAAATGTGGAAATTAGACTGATACCGTATTAGAGAAGGAATGTTATTCTGTGTTTTATCCAAATGTGGAAAAAATGCTGATCCAAAGTTGATTATATATACTGATACTTTTATCTATTCAAGTTTGTAGTGAGTCTGGATCTTTGCTTTAAATAAGTAAGAAAACTATAAAATATGACTACAGTCGTGGTTCAGTGCATGCATGTACTGGGTGCTAGGTTTCAACGTGGCCCTAACGAATCACTAAGTTACAGATAATATTTTCTTCTTAAAATTTACGCTTAGTAACAATTTTATATTTTTGGTGCTTAAGTTACAACATAGCCTTCCTAGCAGTATTACTGAATTGTTAAAACCAATTATAATTAACAAATCTCACAGGATTCAACACAGCACAATATAACAGACCCAGTGAACATATTAAGATTTCAGACCATCAGAATCGGCAACTATCTATCCGTGATATAAGATTTGTTTCGAATAAAAAATAAAACAAAACAACAGCAGAGGTACTTCAGTGGTTAATACTTGTTTAATATAACTATCATTCTTTTTTTCTTACTTTAGTTTTGACAAACATGTGGCTATAGAAGTAAACTCAGGTCATACAATCTGGTAGTCTCTCAAGATTACTAGTTCATCACAAGAAGTTCTAGTAAAGGATACGTCCAGGTAGAACTGGCTTCTTGTTGACAAAGGCCATGGATAGTTGTGTTCTGTAGAATAACTGTGAGGGTAACAGTGTGACTGGACCAAACTGGTAATGGGAAGAAGCATCTATATCTAAAGAGTACACATGTGCAACTGAATCAAGAAGGAACATAGAGAACTGGGAGATTACAGCTTGAAATAAAATGAATTAATTAAATTTGGGGGTAATGAGATAATAAGTTCAAACTATATTTCACATAGCATTCAGAAGATGTTAGAAACAAGTAAAAAAAAAGAAAATCAATAAATACAGTGAAACCCCGATTTTATGCGCCCCAATTTAATGCGAATTTAGATATAACGCGAGGGATCATTAACTCTTTTGACACGGGCTCGGTCCATGGGGACCGACCTCGTTATAGTTTACATAATAATAATAACTTTTAATATTTTAAGTGTATCTTATTTAATGCAACCCCACTTGTTTCGCAATGACATTTTATGGATTTCAACAATAGCATTATAATGGGGCTACACTATATCTCCAGTTCCTCAGTCTTAACTTTTGTTTCCAGCTGAGACATCAACCTGCTTCATCATAA